TTATATTAATGTCTCACAAAGTAGATTTCAGTGCAGAGCAGAGAATACTGCCAGGGATAAAGAATGTCACCATCATTATCATAATTATAAAAGAGTCAATTCATCAAAAGGACATACAATCCTAAATACTATACAATAAAAGGCTAATATGCAAATTGTCCCCTCAAGCAGGAATTCAACTGAGAGTTCAACCAGGAGTTCTATCAGGGAATGGGGGGCCCCTCTGGCAGGCCAGGCCAGCCCAGCCCAATCGGCCCCAATAGGTCCCAATCGGGGCAGGCTGGCTGGACCCCACCCATGCACAAATTCGTGTACTGGGCCTCTAGTATTTATATACCAGAGCTTCAAAACAGATGAAACAAAAACTAACAGAGGTATAGAAAGAAATGAACAAATCCACAATTATTAGATTTCAGAACCCTTCTTCAATAACTGATAAAAACAAGTAGCTAGAAAACCAGCAAGAACACTGAACTTGTATGGCACATCAACCAAACTGACCTGACATTCACAGGACACTATCCAGTTAGTATCAGAACACTCCTTCTTTTCACGTGTACACAGCAAGTCTGAAACTAACATAGAAACAAAAGCTGCACCTAAAGTCGTTAGCAGTGGAAGTGCGTTCACCGTCCTGCCTGCTCCCACCACCGCTGCTCGCCGGTCTCAGGGCTGACAGTACGCAATGTCTTGTTATATTCCCAGCCAGGTAGCACTCTTGATTCTTAGTACAAATTAGTCCCTCACAATAGTTCACAGTCGTTTTAATTGTTAACATTGTAAACCTGTATCTTAAGGCTTTTTCCAGCAAAATGATCCTAACTGAAATTATTTTCATATAAAAAATATTTTATAACTAACTAAAAGTTAAGGTATTTGGTTGTGTGTCAACAGATGGCTGTTATTTGGTTAATGTGTGGCCTTGACATTTTCTTAGGCAAGACCGTGAGCCCTGAAACTAAGACTATGTCAGAACATGACAAGAAGGTGCTAGGAATGAGGGCATGTAGCGTGAGCCTTGGTTACTTTCCAAACTCTTCGACATTTGACTCAGAATATTTCCCTTTATTAAAAATCCTAACTAGAGATACAAACAGATTGTTCAGACATGAGGACATTAGTAATTAATCAGAAGTTCATCAGTACCCTTGCTGGTTTGGCTCAGCGGAAGGAGTGTCGGCCTGCGGACTGAGGGATCCCGGGTTTGATTCTGGTCAAGGGCACATGTCCAGGTTGCGGGCTCGGTCCCCAGTAGGGGGTATACAGGATGCAACCAATCACTGATTCTCTCTCAGCATTGATGTTTCTCTCTCTCTCTCTCTCTTTCTCTCTCTCTCTCTCTCTTTCTTTCTCTCTCTCTCTCTCTCTCTCTCTCTCCCCCTTCTTCTCTGAAATCAATATAATTTTTTTAAAAGTTCATCAGTACCACTCATTTATTATTTTCTACAAAATAACTGACCACGACTGAGTCATATACACATTTTTTTTTTTGCTAAGAAATTTTCAATATGAGGTTTGAAATTATTTCTATATCAAAGTTATAATTACAACTTATACTTCTGTTTCACACTGAGAACTGGAGAGGGAAAGAAGGCCCAGGGTAAAAATGAGGAGTATATTTACAAAACCCCAAAAGAAAACCTCTCCAAAAAAGGACAGAAATGAAACTGGATTCCTTCATCAAAGAACAAAAGCGAATAGTGCACTGCTTTCCTGCAGGATGAGAAATACGGGCACAGACACAAATAGCCAGCGTTTCTGTGTTCATACCACATTTTAAAAATCTGCATTTGCATCCTGCATCACTAACAAGTCAAAGAACCTCAGAATGAAGAAAATAAATTTACAATAGAAATTAGTAGAAGTACTACAAGGTCTTTTGGTCACAGTTGAGAAAAATTTCCTGGTTAAAGGAGATTTCAAATAAATAATGCAAAAAAAAAAAAGCCAATCTTTCCGTTGTTTCTTGATTAAGCATAATAAAGAACATGTCAGCCTGGCTAGTGTGGCTCAGTGGTTGAGCGTCGACCCAGGAATTAGGAGGTCATGGTTAGATTCCCAGTCAGGGCACATGCTGGGGTTGCGGGCTCAATCCCCAGTAGGAGGCATGCAGGAGGCAGATCAAGGATTCTCTCTCATCATGGTTGATTTCTCTCTCTCTTTCTCCCTTCCTCTCTGAAATCAACTATATATATATATTTAAGATAACGTTAGCAACCAGATAAAATCTGTTCTTACAAAATGCTCTGCTACCTTTAAAATATTTTATTATAGAAAACTCTGGTGTCCATAAGTCATTTATTAGGCCTGATCCAGTTCCTATTTCACCTGTCAACCATCTCCTCTAATCACCTTGAGTATCCTTGGTTACCAAATATCTGGACACCAATCCCCCAGATGTTGGATTCTTCAAAACTGAAGTCTGACCACGCAGCCAGCTATGTATGGTCACCAGCTCCTGGAGTGTCACTACTCGCTTGCAAAGGGTTTAAAGAGTTCGAATAAACAATGTTAAGCACAGAAAGTTTTGTGTTTCCTATAAGTAACAAAACTATCATCTATATTAATTATATTTGACTGAAAATACAAGGTCAAAATTTTTCTCACAGACCTTGTAGCAAGTGATATGCTTATAACTTAGTGGTCATTTTAAATTAGCATAATTAGCACTAATTTTTCAATTAGTGCAGTTTTCCATATTCAAATAAAAGAAGCTTTTTTAAAGGAATTTTTAAAAAATATATTTTATTGATTTTGTACAGAGAGGAAGGGAGAGAGATAGAGAGTTAGAAACATCAATGAGAGAGTCATCGATCAGCTGCCTCTTGCACACCCCCTACTGGGGATATGCCCAAAACCAAGGTACATATCCTTGACTGGAATTGAACCTGGGTCCCTTCAGTCCCCAAGCTGATGCTCTATCCATTGAGCCAAACCGGTTTTGGCTTTTAAAGGAATTTTTTAATAAAAGTGTCATGTCACACTAGACATGTAAGTCTAAAGCTACAGTTTATGCCTAACAGGCAGCAACATTAGCAGCTGGCAAATTTAAAAGAAAAAATTTGGAGCAGAACACCAAATTAATTTTTTATATAGGATTCAATATATCTTCAATTTATAATTGAATATATAATCATCACTTAAAACTGAGAGAAGAGCTGCATGTAATGGCGGTGACGAGGCTCCTGGTCGCTTCGCTTCTCGTTTAAATGCGAGTGGCGGGCCGCGGCGGCTGCGCTCCCGGGGTCAGGCTCTGCCTGCGGGAGGCAGGAGGCAGGAGACGCCGCAGCCTGGAATCCGGGGGCAAGCACACCCTCTATTCTGGTCTGATAAGCTTCTCAGCCAGTAAATCAAAGTCCCGTTATACAGCAGGATAATAGTCGTGACAATTCCCTATATTTTATCTTCTTAAAATCAAAGGCTCACTTCTAAAGAGTTAACAGAGGAATTACAAAGTAACTCCCAAGTTTGCATTTCCCATAATACTGAATAAAGCTTATTCTTTTTGTCTAGAAATTTGCCTTTTTAACGCTGTGAAAAGCCTCTATGAATCTGTTCAGTGCTCTTACTCCTTTTCATCTATTCAGTGCCACTGGCATAACAGGTAGTGCGTGCGTGCTGTGCCGGGCAGAGCACGTGACCACTGCGCCTAATGCACGCCATTAATCCTGTTTGGACAGCTGGGTCCGGGCATTTGTTAGCTGCCTTTTAATTGTTCCATCTTCCCTTTTCTCCTTTTTATTTATCTCTATGGCAAACTACTCAGGAATTCAATGTGTTGATCTTCAAAAAAGCAAATTTTGCCATTAATTTGTTTTCTTTGTATTAAAACTATACTCAGCATGTAATTTTCTTTCGTAAATAAGCATATGCTAGTACCGATGTGAACAATTTTAAATAAGAGCACAAGTGACCAAATGGTAGGGTAGCTGTAATGTCACAGAATTATTTGTTAAACTGTCATGATACATATGACATTTAGCTACAAATCAAGGAATAGAAATGCATATTTTTGGCATTTTCAGATTAGCACACCATAAGCAAATGTCAAAAACAATAACGAGTCCTGTAAGCGAACACAAAAGGGTGAGGAGTGAGCGAGCTCTGTGTCAGTCTGTGGAGAGCGGTCCCTCTCCATTCATCGGAGATTTCCCTCTTTATTAAAACACGAAATTCCTGTGAGAATTAGAGACTAAGATACGCTTGCTTTCTGGCACGGCCCGCATCCTGATGGGTGCGTCTTGAATAAATGATGATGCGATATACGAGCTGAAACAAAAGGAGCTCGGCCTTGTCATTGTTGCTGTGAGCAAGTGGCTGAGGTTGAATGATGGGATGCTTCCTAATCGGTGGTGAGCACTCTCAGGTCAAACCCTCAGTCTAGAAAGCGAACCTCCTCCTGAACAGAGCAGCACTGAGCCCAGGCCTGGGCACCCCAGCCACAGGGCTACAGGTGGAGAGCGGCCACAGGGGACTGCGCAGCCACAGAGCAATGTGGGCACACTTTACTTTCAGAGAATCAAAATTCTGTAAACAGGAAAACTTCGTGAATGGCAGGCATGTGAGATCCTTACACTAAGGGCTGCTCTTTAAGTCCCTGTGGTTTTCCTTTATGCCCACTTCACAGCACAAAGCAGCTTAAAATAAGGCTGACACATTTTCAATTTTTTAAAACACAATCATGTTATTTCATATTAAGAAAAACTAGTTTAATATTTTCTAATCATTAAACATTTTTTAAAATAAAAATCAGTTTCCTTACTAGAGACTAAAAGCTTAACTAGTCAGTGAACAAAAAAAAAGTTCACTGTTTTGAGAAGACACATTATAAAGATTTTTAAAAAGTGCCTTCGTTTGATAAAAGCGCTTTCTGGTGTAGCCCCACATAACAAAGTCCAGGAGTAAAGGCGGAAAGTAGGGTCGTGGTGTGTCTCGAGGGATGACCTTTAGAAGCTGGAGTTAAGGAGTGGAGCGGAGCGGAGCACCCCTCTTGGACTCACCCAGGGTTCTGGACATCACAGGCAGAGCCGAGCTCAGGACCAGGAGCGACACGCAGTTCCCGATGATCTGCCAGGAGACAGGAGAGCAGCGGGCGGTCACCACCGGATGATAAATGGAACCCACCACCTCGGGGTGCTGTTCACTCCAGGTGTCTACTGTACCTTGCTAACTGCTTAATCATACTCTTCACTATAGAATTTAAAAAGAAGAAGGAATTGCCCATAGACAGTGAACGGCCTATCTGTAAGTTCTAGAAAATCTTGATAGTGCCCGGCACAAATATAAAGCTACAGAACACTTCAGTTACTTTACACCTCAGACAATGGATTTTACATCATTGATTGATGCTGCCAATTTCAAAACGGCTTGCTTGTCAAGTGAAAAAGAATTAATGCCTCCCTGGCCAACCTGGCCCAGTGGTTGAGCATCAACCAGGAAGTCATGGTTTAATTCCTGGTCAAGGCACATACCCTGGTTATGGGCTCGATCCCCAGTGTGAGGTGTGTAGGGGCCAAGAATCAATGATTCTGTCTCATCATTGATGTTTCAATCTCCCTCTCCCTCTCCTTTCCTCTCTGAAATCAATAAGAATATATATTTTAAATAATTAATGCATTTAATATCTCTGTTTTTAAAGCCAACTACTGCTCACAATTTATATAAGGTCTACCTCTAATATGTTATAACATTTTAATATCAAAAAGCTCAAAATCCAAAACACATACATTCTAGTCATTCATTTTCAATGTACCCTATGCTTATCTATAATAATAAAAGCATAATATGCTAATTAGACCAGTCGTCCTTCTGGATGACCTTCTGGCAAAGCTGGGGTTCGGAGGGAAGCCCGGGTCCCGGGTGTCCGAGGGAATTGGGGCCAGCAGCCGGGGAAAGGAAGGCCCGCTCTTGCACAGATTTCGTGCATCGGGCCTCTGGTTCTTTCATAATAAATAAGAGCTGGAAATGCTGATTAGCCTGTGATCACTTAAGCTCAGAGTCTCAGAAACTCAGTATGTTAGCTACATCAATAGATGAATAGGAAATAAGTTCCCTCTTAAAACAGGTCAACAATATGAAATATTTAGTAAAACTGAAGGAGCCCGCAGCTCCTGTAGCTGCCCCTCATTTCAGCCGGTGGGAACGTTTTACAGAGCAGCAGCCATTGTGCCACAGCCTGTGCCATTCCGAAGCCAAGGACATATTGTAGGAAGTCAAATCAGCCTCAGATTGCAAAATGTTTCTGAATAGGCCTCTTCCGTCTTGCTTTAATTATTCAAATTTGAAACACTTTGTCTCCACTACTTGTAGCAACAGAGGTTCTTCAGATCTCAAAAGAGCTCCCTCAAGTGCAGTCAGCACAGCCCAAGTGACTCATTAGCGGAGCATTTTCTTTGGAGGAAAAGCATCTTTTCAGAGCCTCTGTGCCAGCTAACAAGCGAGGCTCCTCCGCATTTACAAGTGAATGGACGCCCGCCAGGCCACACAGCCCGCGAGCCTTCACCATGGCACCATTTGCACAGCCTCTGCCGCGGAGGAAGAGGGAATCACTAAACGGCAAGGCAAAGGGGAGGCGCGACCTTAGCTTACCTTTGTCATGGTCGTGTCATCCTTCTTGGGAATAAAGTCTCCAAAAAAGCGGAGGCTATAGAAACCGACGACAGAGGACACCATCAGATAGCTGTGAGAGTCAAGGAAAACACCTCCGAAGAATGTGGCTGCCTCGCTCAGTCTCCAAGTCTGAGGCCCAAAGGAAACTCAAAACAAAACGAAAAGCCCCTTGGAGTGCCTGGGGAAGAATGCCTTGTTTTTCTCCGGGGCAAGTGTCTTAGTGAATTACCACTGTCCCAGAAAACGGACAGAAAACCTGTTAACAGACAGAGCGCCAGTGAAAAAAAGGATACAAAATCAAAATGATTTCAAGTGCCGCTCCCACAAAACCAAAAGCAGAGAGAGAGGCATTTCCTATCCCAGGCCCCTGGGGGGAAAAACACTTTTCAGAATTTAATGACACTATTTATTTGGTTTCCCTAAAACTGTCGTTTCACAAATACAGGACAGCTGAAATTAGGAACTTGGTCTAGTAAAATGTGACATTAGACGGAGTTCATCAGCTAACTCAACCACATGTTAACAATTTTAACAGGCTTGACATTTGACATTTGATTTATTTCAAATTTAAGTTACTTATCAAAATAATGATTATTTTGTTAATTCTTCAATGTGCTTGGAAGAAATCTTTTAAAAATGTAACTGTTAGGACTACAGGGTGTGGACAAAAAGGGGCTACACGCTAGCCTGATTAGTCAGGGGGGGACTGTATGGAGGGACTTACAGTAACCAGAAAGGATGGCCTGAAATTAAAACTTTTTAAAATTAAAAAGCAGTTTATGGTGGGCAGTATCTTCCCTGACAGTCCTAGGCCAGTATCTTCTCTGACAAAGATCAACTCTCATCTTTACTGAGCCTGCTGTCCTTTTGCAGCCAGGATAACACCCCTGTGGAATGGCAGGGTAGCCTGTAACTTCCTTTTTGGGGGACCCTTTAGGGCACAATAACGCAGAGACCACAGAGCGCCCCTCATTCCTGCCCTCAGGCTAAGAGCTGGCTTTGCTGTCCTGCACCCGCCTGTGCGGAGAGTCCTCCGATCATTTGCTGCACGTTTTCTGGGGAGATGGCGGGGCCAGCACCTCCGTAGTGCAATGGGTAAGCCCTGGGAACACCACCTTCGTGATCATGGTAGGAAAGTATCTATCATTTTACTTCCTTCCCAATCCCAGAGGCTTCCCCGCTTTGCTTTCTCCCACCTCCCTCATCACCAGTGGCTTCCATCTCCTCTGAGGTACTCTGTAAAACTAGGTAAAAACTGCTGTTCTCGGGAGCATTATCTCATACGTTGAGATTCTGCTTCCCGGCTTTTGTCATCAGTTTGGCTCAAATAAACTCACAAAAATTCTTTGCAGATTTGAATGTTTCTTACGTAACAAGGGCAATACAATCCTTAATGGCCAACCCCACCCCCCACCCCCGCTCTCCCCCCAGTAGACAAAGACCAGGAAAAAGAATCCAGACACCAGGAGTCAGACCATACAAGGAACTGAAACTGTCCTGAAGACACCTGATCACACACATGCATTCCACCCGCATTCCAAGCCCCCGACCCAGCCCCCAATCCACTGGCGACAAGTGTCCCGCCAGTGACTGTGTGTAAGGACGACACTCCAGCTCCTGGGCTGCCATTGTCGGTTCGGTGCTGTGCAGCCCTTTTCCTAAATAAATTCAATTTTCTTTAATCACTCTCAGAGGTGGCTATTTAGCCTTCCCCGACAGACCACCATGCTAAACTTCCATGCTAACATTTCAATAACAGCATAACAGGGATAAAATATGTAATTATCCAAACTCTGAGATGACATATAAAAATTATACTGTTAAAGTATGTCAAAAGTAAGCTACGCACAGAAAGAAGGTGAATGTGCATACCCCGTTTCTAGCCCTTAGAAATAAATGTCCTTTCCCCAACTCTTCCTTGGAAACTGGGAGTTTTAAAAGATGTAACTTAATAAACCCGGATTTTAAAAAATGTAATTTTTTTACTAAACATTGTACCTATTCTCAAAAACTATATCTAGGACTTAAGAAAACAAACAGAAAAGTAGTATTTGTCAATGAGACCAGAGAGGAAAAAATTATTTCTTAATGAAATAGGAACAATATTTTCACAGCTTATTAATTAAAGGAACTACCCTGTTTCCCCGAAAATAAGACATTGTCTTATATTAATTTTTTCTCCCAAAGTTGCACTAGGTCTTATTTTCAGTGGATGTCTTATCTTTCCATGCGCTAGGTCTTATTTTCGGAGGATGTCTTATTTTCGGGAAAACGCGGGTATATGAATATGAAAGACTTATTTACTCTCAGCTCCTATTACATCTAAGAGAAATACCAGGATAAAATAAAATGTATAGTCACACTGAAAAAAAAAAAAACAAAAAAACAAGAAATAATAAATATTCTCTCTACATCCTCACTTAGGCATAGGAAGCACTGACTGCACTGGGACTCGCAGGCCGCCCCGAACAGGCCACGCTGGTCGTTTCCAATCAGCTGCTGGAGAGCCCCCGTACAGGAAGCTCACTCCGGCTCCTGTTCCCACACAGGAACAAAGCTCCCTGTGCCAGGGAGAGGGAGCTCAGGACTGGAAGTCGCTATACAAACAAGCTTTGTTACTTCTTCAATTAAGTCCCTAACCCAAACACAAACTCTTTGCTTTGTGCATCTTCATAAGTAACTTTCTTTGTCTATGAATGGTATACATACTCCATGCTTTGATCATTTTTGATGTCTCATTCTATGGGGTCTCCTTATTCACTTATATAATTAAATTTTATTTTCTTCTGTTTTTCTGTCTTTTGTCAATTAAATTCTTAGACAAAAGAACCTAGAAGGGTAGAAGGAAAATTTTTTCCTCCCCAACAACTGTGATGAAAAACATTTTGGAACTATTCCCTGTCTTCAGAGGCCTACAGGTAGGAGGATTAAGGTGACCTGATTTATTTACACAATCATACAAGGAGCCTACCAGGTATAAGTCCCTCTCCACTAAGACGTAGGTTTACTTAGTGGATAATATATAAGAATGGGTTAAAAAGTAGCTAGAAGTCAACACAGGAGGTGACTCCCACTCTCTCAGTGGGCTTGGGAGTGAACAAAGACAAAGCCGGGCTGTGGAGGAGGTGGCTGCTGTGCTGCTTCCAGGTGAGGAGGCACTGGAGCTGCGCTGCTCACGCTGCGGAGAGCGTGGCAGGGACAGATGGCACCACGTGCTGGAGCGGCGTGAGGGCATCCAGACCAAGAAATGGGCTGAATGAATGGACTCTGGGAGGCACAGGGTATCTTCATCATAGACCGAAGGGAAGGAATAAAGATAGACAATGGCTTTTCTCTATGAGAGAACAGGTGTAGCAGAGAGAGAAGGGCATCAAAAGTCAAAGTTTTTAAGTCATTTCTATGGGGAATGGGAAAGTGGCTGACTTGGAAAAATATAAAAATATAATAAATGTCAAAACTTAAATGTTACTTAAAAGTTTAGAGACACCTAGAAAAAACTATGCCAAATATGAATTTTTGGTGGTAACTACCTTCTTGATGGAAAATATATTCAAATCGGTTAATTGACAGAATTAATAAAATCATCAGTCTTTTAACAGGAGAGAAAACTAAGTTAACTCATAGAAAGATATACCTCTAACTCTCATCAGTAAATGAACATTTCGACTCAGTATCATAAAGTGTGGACTCTCCTGAATCGGATTCCCGTCAACCACACAGCTGCATCTCTCACACACCCAATGTATCCATTTAATAAATTCTTCATCTATCACTATTTCAGAGTGTACATTTTTTTAAAAAAATCACAAGTAATGAATTTCAGTAAAACAAAGATAAACTCTGATATGAAGTGTATCTGATTTTTTTATAAAAAAAGCCCAGCCAATCCAAAGTAAGATACCAGAAACAAAACCATCTATAATAATGAAAGCATAATATGTTAATTAGACCAGACAGCCGAAGGACCTCCCGGATGGCCTTCTGGACGACCTTCCAGACGAAGCAGGGGCTGCAAGGGCCGAGGCAGCTGCTGCAGCTGCGAGGGCTGAGCCCCACAGGAATTTCATGCACCGGGCTCCGGAAGTTTACACATGCTGTTTATGAAGGCTCCTTGCATAAAGAAATTCACACAACTTAAAGAATATGCATACAGAAAGGTGACTGTTTTAACTGGCTTATGCAGAATGCTTTTGCAAAAGAAAGCCATGTTAAACATTCTACTTTACCCTTGTTCCCTTTGGCATTGCTGTTTCATCAACCAACAGGCAAAGGATATTACAAGCCACCAGGATGACCGAGATGGACTACGACACAAAAAGTCAATTGTCAGTTCTACATTTCAAAGACATTTTGCCAATAAATATATATTAAAATCTAAGTGGAAAACCAACTGTATGTTTCAGAGGAGAGGAAAAGAAGTCTAAACAAAAATTCTACATATAACCCTAAAGTCATTAGACTGCCTACAAAACCCAGAATAAATTCTAAAACATTCTGTAAATTATTATAATTTCAAAACTTGTGACAAATGCTAATCACACAGATCCACGTATTCACTGATCTTACCCACTAAAAATCCAAACCCCATCTCCCTCCCCCCACTTAGAAATAGTTACAATCCATCAGCACTGGCTCTCTGACTCCTGCCCACAGCCCCCGTGAGCCTGGCTGTCTCCTGTACCTCCTCGGCTCTGCATTTTCAATGAAACAAAGAATGAATTTCCTGCTTTCACGAAGAAATAGATAAGCTTGAGGACTTTTAAAAAATTACTATTCATTTCTGTTTTGGTTCTATCATGTTTTTGCACATAGAGGCATGGATGCATTTTAATCTTATTGGTAAGAAAATTAGTTTACCTGCATCGCTGAGGGAGTTGCCATTTTCAAACAGTAAATATAAAATAATTTGCTTTATGCATCCAGGCAAATCAGTTCCTACCGTCTTAATGAGAAGGAGAACCATGACCGCAGGATACACCAAATTTCGTTCCCAAGCCGATGCCTTCTTTCGCCTCTCTAGTAAGAGAAACAAGACAACCAAAGATTTCAGAAATGGCCAAAAATCCTCTCTACATTCCCATTTTTATTCCTTACTACTATAGCTAGAATGCTTTATTCTTATATAATTTTTTAAAGAATTATTTTACTTTTCCTCCACATACTATAAAAATCAGAAATTTAGAGTTAGTTTGCTACATTAAACAACTTAGTTCTGTGATGCTTAAATTTTAGCTCTTTAAAGACATTTCAATTGCTAATGAAATAAATTGGTAATTTATAGCTTACTCTGAAAATATAGAAATATTTGTATTTGACATTAACTTACATATTGGCACGGATTTGAATGACTAAAGTAATAGGAGTAAAAATCCCCTCTACTCTCACATCCCAAAGTCATCACTCCCATTTCTAGAGGCTGAGGGCAAACTTCCATTTCGGGCTGCCAGGGGCGACCTCACGTCACAACCGTCCCGGCCATAAATAACTGGAGAAGGTGGAGCAAACTGATTTTATTAAAAATCTGCGTGAAGATATCAGAATTACCATGACAATCCACACTGAGGGCCAGTGTTCTGCAAAATGAATGCACACTCCTTCCCCCCACATTTTCCAGAGGTAACTGCATGGACCCACAAGGCTGAGAAATAAGCAGAAATCAGTGGGTGAAAGAAAACCAACTTTCCTAAAGCAAAGCTTTCAGCAAAATCAGCAGGGCCAAGGAGACAAAAACGGAAGTTTGAAGCCACTGAGCCGCCAGCTCTTGAGAGGCTAGGCTCACAGAGGAGAGGAGAGGAAGGAGGACTGGTGCAGCCCCACCCCTGCAAGGCGCAGTGATAAGCCAAGCTGGGCTCCACCGGGCTCATGTTTCTTAAAGGTAAAAGTAGAGTTCAAGGTTCAGAAAGAAGACAGCATGATAGTCAACAATAAAACAACCAGCTTTCAGGACCACGGAAAAGCTATGTTCCAGGAGCAATACCAAACTGGAACTAGACCAGCCTAGAAAAGACCAAAACCCAGTCTCAAACTCTCTCAGATTAAAGGGATCTGTCTCTACTCCTAATGGCCTACCAGAAGCTAAAGTAAATCCTTTCAAAAAAGAAGAAAATATCAACCATGTTTCTACAATGACATAAAAAATGTCTAGCGTTTAATCAAATATTATCAGGAGATAGAACAAAGAAAAAAGAACAGAAACACTTTCAGCTGATCCAGATTTTGGACTTACCAGGAAGTGGCCTTAAAATAACTGATTACCATGCTCAATAAGACAAATGATGAGATGGCAAATGTCACAAATTGAATCTAGAAAAATAATCAAATGGAATTTCTAGAACTGAAAAGAATACTGTAACTAAAGATGAGTGTGATCATTTTGACAGCAGTTACAACTGCTGGAAGGAAGATCAGTAGAAAGACAAAGACAAAAGGAAATCTTAGCAGCCCTCCCCAAGGGCACAGAGGCAACTTTGGATGGCATCTTTACAATGATGAAAATTACCCAATAAGCTGTTGAAATTCCATGTAAACGCCCCCACAAACAAGAAAGCAAAGTAAAAATGTTTTCAGATAAACAAAAACTGAAAGGATTTGTTGCCAGCAAACCAGCACTGAATGAAATACTCACAAATTTTTTTCCAGCAGAAGCTAAGTGAACTCTGGAAACACAAATCAGGGTCATGCAGGCTGAAACACCAAGTCGGATGCCCTGAACTGGTACAAATGGAGAAGCCCAGCCACGTGGACTGTTGGCAAAGATGAGGGCAACAGGGAGCCTTCTGGTCCCTCGCAAGAATATAAGGAACACAACTACCTGGGAAAGTTTGGTGTTATCTGAAAACGTTGTACAGAACACCCAATGATCCTATGATTTCACTTGAACCAAGAGATGCTAGAAGAATGTCTATACCAATAGTATTCACATTAACACAAGACTGGAAACACATCAAACATCCATCAACAGCAGGATGAAGAAAATAACTGCAGCAATGTAATGATGTTTACGAAATTAAAATGATTAAACTGCATATATGATTTTCAACAACATAATATTCGACTTGCCCTTCTGAAGACAGAGTAACAACAGGAGCCAGAGTTACTGTCCAGCCTGAAACATTTTAAAGACCAAAAAATACATGGATGTGAAAACAACAGTTTTCAAGCCTGGGGCAGCTGTTCACTGAAGGCAACAGCCCTGAGAGATGGGGAACAAATGCTGCAGGCCCTGTGTCTGCCTGCTCACTGTCTGGGAGCTTCCAGGCAGGCCCTCGTGCAGGAGGCAGGAACCCAGCCCCTGAGTTGAGGGCATACAATGGGGTCTGAAGACACCAAGTCAGCGGGATTTTGCAGAGCATGTGCCAGAGGGGAGACTATTGCACAGAGAAAACCCCAAGGACTGGAGCAGGATGACGATCAGCTGAGGGATGTGAAGAAAGCACCCATGGCTGATGAAAGAACCAGCCAAAATGAGTGAAAGGAACAGCATCCAACAATCACGAAGGGTCAAAAATCATCTGCTCCCTCAAGACACTGGGGCACTGGGTAGAATGCTTCGAAAGGTCTTGCATCAGTCGCAGGAAACTATTACTACCGTGTTTCCCCGAAAATAAGACATCCCCTGAAAATAAGACCTACCGCAACTTTGGGAGAAAAAATTAATATAAGACACTGTCTTATTTTCGGGGAAACAGGGGAGTAGCCCTAGCCCAGTGGTCGGCAAACTCCTCAGTCCACAGAGCCAGATACCAACAGCACAACAATTGAAATTTCTCTGGAGAGCCAAATTTCTTAAACTTAAACTTCTTCTAACGCCACTTCTTCAAAATAGACTCGCCCAGGCCGTGGTATTTTGTGGAAGAGCCACACTCAAGGGGCCAAGGAGCCGCATGTGGCTCAAGAGCCGCAGTTTGCCAATCATGACCATACAAGACGAAATGTCATTCTGGCCCAGCCTAACAAGTCTTCAAAGAAAGACCTGACAATACCAAACTGTTTCTAAGTAACTTCACTGCACCCCAAAACAAAGCTCCTCACTTACAGGAACACCAAAATATTAGCACTAACAATGTAAGAGTCACAGTAGCTATAATAGTATCCAAACTTGCCATGCATGCAAACAGGCACAAACATATAGTAAGTCAATCAATTAAAACTCTTCTAGTATAAACACAGATGTTAGAATTAGCAGACAAAAACATTAAAAGTATTATTAAAACTGTATTCCATATTTTCAAAAAGATGGATATCAAATTAAAGATGCTAATTAGACATATGGAAAATATATAACAGGCCTAAACAGAACTTCAAGAGATAAAAATTGCAGTGTCTGAGAAAAAAATAAAATAGGTGGGATTAAAGACTAGACACTCAGAGGAAAAAAATTAGTAAACATGAAGACATAGCAATACAAACTACCTGAAATGAAACACACAGAGGAAAGAGAAAACATGAAAAATGAGGAAACAGCCGAGACCAGTTTGGCTCAGTGGACTGAGCATCAGCCTGCGGACTGAAAGGTCCCAGGTTCAATTCCGGTCAAGGGCATGTACCTTGGTTGCGGGCACATCCTCAGTAGGGGCTGTGCAAGAGGCAGCTGGTCGGTGACTCTCTCTCATCGATGTTTCTAACTCTCTATCCCTCTCTTTCCCTCTGTAAAAAAATCAATAAAATATATATTAAAAAAAAATGAGGGAACACCCTTGTGTTAGGGGCAACTTTGTGAGAGCTATTGCACATGGAATTGGAGTCCTTGGAGAAGGAGGCACAAAGAGAAGAAGGAAAAACACTTAGAAAAGTAATGGCAAAAAGTTTCCACATGAGATGACAATTACAATTTCCCAGGTCAAAAAAAAATCAATGAACCCAGAGGATAAGAAACAAATAAAATTACTCAAAGGCACATCACAATAAAATTGTTTTAAATCAATTGTTCTAAATCTTCTGAAAAGAAGATAAAGACACAATAAAAGATAAAGATGACAGATGATTACTTGTCAGGAATAATACAAATGAAAAGACAATAGAACACACCTTTAAATATCAGTTTGTTTTTAAAATTCATTTTGTAAACATAAAAAACAAAACAAAAAGTGAGTCAATGCCTGCTTATCCTCTCCCCAAATGGCTTGGACAGATTGAAAGCTTGTAACTTCAACTAAATATTTCATATGTTTTTTAATATTTCAGACTACAGGAAAGACTTTAATAAGAAATCCAGTCAAGGGGGAAAATGTACCTAATTTTGTCTTAAAAATCTTTACATTTTCAAGTTCTTGTTCCAGCTCCATTACATTGTAGTCCACGGATGAAGTCAGTCCTGTGGAAAGCAAACATATACGTAAAACAACAGAACCCCTAGGAGCACAGAACAGTGGCCCTCACAATAAATTAAAATATAAAAGTAACCCATTGCAAATGCTGAGTAGAGAGAATGAAAACAATGCTGCTGTGATTCACAGAAAAGGACTTTTTTTTAACCACTTAAAATGTCCAAATTCTTGATGAAACACTAAATGTTTCCTAGAAAATGTATTACTTTGATAAAATTCTTAATGGATCTATTGTTAATTTTTATTAATTATAAAAGTATGTGCTTATTATAAAGTAATAGAAAAGCAAGATCTCTTCTCCACCCCACCTTCCCACAGTGACAACAGTTGACCGGGTGGTTGCGTCCACGCCTTTCTTCATGTTCAGGTGCGTATTCACACACTCACATGTATGCATGGGGTTTATAAGAATGGGTTGAATCAGATGCATTATTTTTCCACTTGCTTTCCTAGTCAATGATGCGTCCACATTGACAGTGACAAGTCCTTAACAGCTGAATATATATTATTCCAAGGTGGGGACATCCTTCAGCTTTATTCGAGATTATTCCACTTATGAAGTCAAATTCCTCCGATGGTTTGATACAAACAACGCTGCAGTGCACACATCTACAGGCACCCAGGTCATCTGCTCTGTTACTTCTGTAGCACAGATTCCCAAACACACTCTGCTGAGTTAAAGGTGTGAGCACTGACTGACATATAGGAGATATTTAAAGGTTACTTCCCCCCAAATATAATAATCCTATATAATAAAAGCCTAATGTGCAAATTGTCCTCTCAACCAGAGTTCCACTGGGAGTTCAACCACTCGACCAGTCGCTATGATGCTTAGGAGATGAGAACTGCCCCTCCATCCTTCAGTGGAGACACACCCGACACCTCCATCCTTCACTGGAGACACACCCGACACCCTCCATCCTTCACTGGAGACACAGCTGACACCTCCATCCTTCACTGGAGACACACCCGACACCCTCTCACTTGGGGCACTGAGGTCTCAAATGCCCTGGAGTGATACCCGGTGTCCCCAGAAGTCATGATTTTAATCATTTTACTCTCGATATACAATTTATAAGAGAACGGGGATGAAGACAGTACAGAGATATTCAAGTAGTGTGTCCCTAAACTATCAATATTAACTACGAAATTCAGAGTTTCTGGTAGGCAAAGCAAAAAAGAAAGGAATTAAGTTACAAAGTTAATGGATATTTCCATTTAACAGGAGATCTACAGGAAGGGGGCAGAGTAGTGTACCATTTTCAAGTGTCTTTGAATAGTCTTAGAGATAAGTACATTTTACTTTTTATAGGGTAATGCTCATTTAACTTCTATATGTAATTAATTACCAATACAATTCCAAATACATCTCATTCCCTCTTCCTGTAAAGAAATGCTATTCCAGTAAGCAGTCCAGGCCTACAAAAATCATGTGAGAGCATCGCGAACTCTGAAAGGAGGCAGCTGTCAGAGCAGAAGGGGTTGCTGCTGTCACTTTAATTTTTTTAATTTTTTAAAAAATATATTTTATTAATTTTTTACAGAGAGGAAGAGAGAGGGATAGAGAGTTAGAAACATCGATGAGAGAGAATCATTGATCAGCTGCCTCTTGCACATCCCCTACTGGGGATGTGCCCATAACCAAGGTACATGCCCTTGACCGGAATCAAACCTGGGACCATCCAGTCCACAGGCTGACGCTCTATCCACTGAGCCAAACCGGTGTTGGCGCTGCTGCCACTTTAAAATTAGGAAGCGAGACACTACTTGGCGGGCTTGGCGTCTACCAACCTAAATACAAATGCCTACACCGACCAGTGTGCTGTTTTTCCAAGTAAAATCGTGAAAGTGGTATTCTGGAATGCAGTATGTTTGTTTAGGGTAACACATATGAGGTACACAGGAGGCAGTTAATAAATACTGACCTGCACACAGAAATCAAGAAGACATTCTAACTGTCCTCAGAGAAATGGTGCTTTCATGAAATGTCCAGCTTCATCTGGAATAACAGATCTCAAAGCCACCACCTGCCCGGCACCATCGCATCCCCAGGAGCACAGCCACCTTTAGTCAGGCAGAGGGCTCCGAGGGAAGTGACCAGAGGAAGGATGGCGCTGGGAGGAACCATGACAACTGCAAACAAGCCCTGGAATGGCACACTCACTTAAGCCGCACCAACGAAAGCACCTCGATATCCTGCAGAACTGTATCACCGCCACTTCACTTCAACACGCCGGAGCGCTCACCGTCAGCATTGTCTAGTCAGTAAGTCCAATTGGTAGACAAAACCTGTTTGGGCTAGTCAGGAGAAATAAAAAGGGATTCTCCAAGACAACCACAAGGCAGCTCATTTAAGGTCAATTTAACGGTGTTATTCTGTTTTCCTTCCAGCCTCGACACAAGGCTTCACTACCTCAAAGGGACCTGTAAGAGTATCTATTTGCATTCCCCCAGGTGATTGGCAGTTCAACACCAATTAGTTCAAAATTACGCTGTTACCTGCGCGCAGTAAAAACAATGCCTTTCATCTTCCTCACGTCGGTAAGAATGACTTCTGAGCCAATAACTTTGATCAAATAAGTATTTTTGATCCTACTCCACCCTTCTCTTTGGATGCAGGAAAAGGAATAGCTGAAGGCAACTTCCCCAGCTTCAGTCTGAAGCTGAAAAACAGTGTGCTACTGAAAACATTTTCATATTTTGCTTCCAAGATAACAGTTTCCCAAAGCCCAGCATTTCTTCAATAACTGATCTGACCTTATACAATTTCTTAATACAGAAGACAGCCCTGACTGACATTCATGTGTTCGAGAGCAGACACCTACAATTTAATTTAGAATATTCGATGTTGCATTTCTTAAAACAAATCTAAATCTCCAGCCTGGTATGTAAACAATCCCAAACCATGAAGCCATAGGAAGGTAGCCCTAGTGGAGCAGTGCCCTAACCTCAGTCTCATATTTGGAAGTAGATACCTCCAGAATAAACAGATTATTTTCTTAATCTAAGTATAGTTTTTATTATACTTTGTACTTTAAACTGACCAAGGTGATCTCTACAACCACGAATGTGAGGTCACTCAAGTACTTTTAATCACTTCGGATTACTTAGGCAAACCATTTTGTTGCTAAGTCCCCAGGCTCCGTGCCCTCAGCGGCGGGCACCGGCTGCAGCCGCACAGAGCCTGGAGAAGACCCCAGCGCTTGTGCAAACAGAAGCCTGGATCCTCAGCTCCCACAGCTCTCCGGCAGGACAGACAGACACTTCCTCTCCAGAGGAGACAGACAACCCATACACTCCTCAGCTCCATTTGAATGCTAATATTTGTAACAATAAGAATTTCTATTTACTTCTGACATAGCCACAAATAAATGACTAAGTAAAGAACATAAAACTTTCAACATCCAGCACAATTTTAAAAATGTAAACATACTTTCACTATAAATGATGACACGCAAGATAGAAAATTTGAAACAAATGTGCAATTAAAGTAGCCGTTTGGCTTTTTTCTACTTTAGATAAGTTACTGATAGACCTTATCCTGGATTATTTTTCAAACTTATTTATTTACGTATACATGTTCCTATGGAGAATACTGTTATCCAAGCAGGCTGTGGCTGAACAAGGAGCTCGTGTGTGTGAAATGCATCTTCTGCTAACAAATTTGGAGCAATTATATAGAGCGATCTCTCCCTGAATTTCAGAGACTACATGACACCTGACTCCACTACATTCTCTAGCTGGTTACTCCAAGTTTTCCCCATTAGCTGACATCTGTTCAGCCACATCTTCTCACCTGCAACAAATAAGCTGTTTGGACCACATTTTATGGTCTAGAAAGTGATTATTTGACCTTAAAAACTGAATGAACTATAACAAGGAATTCCTCCGTGTCAGATCCTTAGACCCAAACGCTGATATCTTACTAGAAAGAAGCCATTTAACTAGTTTTACCAGCAGGATCGACATTCTTTTCTGTGCGCTCAGGCCGTCAGGGATTACTAAACACTTTCCTCTGCCACAGTATTACCAAAGAAGCAATGTGCTGTGTCCACACCCAACCGACCAGGGCCCAGAGTCGGCAAACCTGAGGTAGTCACTCCGTGACAGACCCACAGTGCACAGGATTCTTAAAACACCCACTGCTGGCGTGGAACCGTAGTGCCGAGGGACAGTGAGGGGAGGACATGAGAGGACGTCTCCCCTCAGCTTCCTGGCAGCTAAGGTGTTAGGGAAAGACGTCAGGTAGGTGCTGACCAGTCAGCACGCCGTCTGCCAGAAGCTGGAGGTGCTCTGAGAGGACCCAGGACGCCAGAGCAGCACACACGCCTCCCCAGACCTGGACGCGCCTAAAAGCGCCACAGCAGCTCCGGACCGAGGACACAGGCTGCAGCCGCTGCAGGCACGGAAGGGCTGTGTCTTTCTGAAAGTCCTTTCTTCTTCAGGGTACAAAGGCATCAACCTCCACTCAGGGGGAATGGAACGAGCATGTCTTGGGTGTCCCTAAGAAGAAGGAGTTAATGAAGCTTCGGAGACCAGGCTTTAAAAAAGGTTAGAACCAAGCAGGAAGTAACTGCTACCAAAAGTGATACACTAAGTTTTCGTCATGAAGGTAAAAATAGTACCTATCAAAACTGCAGAGTCATTAAGTTCAAGCCTACCTACAAGAGTTTAAAATAAATTACACAGAATTTAAATAAATGACATTGAAAGAACTGTGAAGGTTTTGAATTTAAACAACAAAAAGTAATCCTTGCTCATTGCGGTGCCTCTGAGTTACCTGCACACCCATCGGCTACGCTCACTATTTCCATCAATGCCTCTGCCTCACTTCCACTCACTTCCACTGTGCACGCATGGACGTGTGCGTGGCCTGGCAGGAGGTTCAAAGGGCTTCCCACACCACAACCGCTGGGCTCCTCTGCGGGTCTGGAAAAGGCACCGTCACTGCTCACATTGCACGTTACCATCAGGGAAATGCCCCCTTACTCCTGCTTCCTTGGGAGCGCCCCCGGCCCGGCCTGTCCTCAGGGGCCTGTGGGTCCTGGGCTCTGTCCCGGGGGCTCTGTCTTCATGCCCCCAGCACACCCTGCCTCTTCCTTCCTCCCCTCCAGGGGCACGGCCTCCTCCCCCTCACCACTCCCTCTGGCAATGTCCCACGGCCAGGGGCATGAAGGGACCACAGAGACCCCTGCCCTGAGGTGTCCCTATGCCGCTGCAGACACAACCGGGAAGAGGAAGACAGGAAGTCAGCTGGTGGAAAGCGCCAAGGACAGAGTGGGAGGACCAGGACTGAGGGGGAGCCCGGCACGCCCCCACCCCCGGCAGCAACGGCTTCCCAACAGTCAGTCCGTGAACCTGAGACGCAGCTGGAACTGGCCTGCCCAAAAGCGCTGCTGGGAAGAAGACGAGCAGCAGCCGCAAGGCGGGGACGCTGAGTGACAGTGCACGCAGGCAGCTCATCTTCCTAAAGCCTCTAGGAAGCCTGCCACTGTCACCGAGGACACAGCCTCCGGCCCCGCCCGCCCAGCCTCCAGAGCCGCGGGAAATCCAGCTGACGTGTCCAGCAGGGGCATGGGCTTCTCCGGGGCACGGGAAGCAGAGTTCGAGTCTCACGGGACGCATGTCACACGCTGTGTGCCATCAGCAAAACACTGCCATGCACTCTGGGTTCGTCACGTGCCACCAGTATTATTGTTTTAATTGTTTTTTACTTTGATCATACTGCAACTCTTCTTAGGAGCCCAGAATAAAAAGTTAAAACTTCAATTTTAAAAAATGATTTAAAATATAACTTACAACACATTTCACATACTACTGGAGTAATAAGCCCGTGGCAGGATTTCTGTTACTAACCCATAGGATCTCCATTTTCTTTAAAACAGCAAATCATGCAGTGCTGTTCCTTGGCCTCTTGTTTCTTCCCACTGCACAACACGACCAACACCCTGACGCTCACAGTTCCTAGTGCACTTAGTCCAGATGGCCACTGTCTCGCAGCTATTTCTGTCACAAGCCTGTTTCCACCTGACAGTCCACCAGCAGCAAACAGCAAACTACAGCCACCGGCCCACCGGCCCACCGGCGGTGCAGTCTGGCGGGAGATGGGCCAGCGCCAGCAGAGCAGTCAGGGCGGATCCTGACCGCAGACACAGATCTCAGCACTCAGTGCTGGCTCCCATCCCCCCGCTATGTCCCCTATCTCCCCCATGTCCCCCATCTCCCCTCCATGTCTCCCATCTCCCCCATGTCCCCCCATCTTCCCCCATGTCCCCCCGTCTCCCCCACATGTCCTCCATCTCCCCCGTCTCCCCCCATGTCCCCCATCTCCCCTCCATGTCCCATCTCCCCCCATGTCCCTCCCATCTGCCCCTCATGTCCCCCCTATCTGCTTCCCCATGTCCCCCCTTTCCCCCCATGTCCCCTACCTCCCCCCCATGTCTGCCACCTCCCCTCATGTCCCCCATCTCTCCCCATGTCCCTCCCATCTGCTCCCCATGTCCCCCCTATCTATCCCCCATGTCCCCCCCGTCTCCCCCAATGTCTATCTCCCCCCTATGTCCCCCATCTCCCACACATGTCCCCCATCTCCCCCCATGTCCCCTATCTCCCCCCATGTCCCCAGTAGGGGTTATGCAGGAGGCAGCTGGTCAATGTTTCTTTTTCATCGATGTTCCTAACTCTTTATCCCTCTCCCTTCCTCTCTATAAAAAATCAACTAAAAATATTAAAAAATAAAAAACTTTTAAAAAAGAATAAAGAAAGAAATAGCACATGGCTCAGTGCAAACAGTCCCATACTGGGCCGTCTACTCGACGTGGTTCCTACCAACGGTCACCAACCGGTGGTCCGGGAGCCACTGGTGGTCCGGGAGGTCCAAAAGGTTGGTGACCGCTGGTTCCCACAATTCTGGCATGTTTATTACATACCCACATGACTCTAAATAGGACAAATTTATCATTCTATTTGCCACTTTAATAACATGTTATAAAGCCAACAGCATAAATTGAGTTACAATTCTGCAATAAAATAGGCTTAAATCTTTTTTTTTAAATATATTTTATTGATTTTTCTTACAGAGAGGAAGGGAGAGGGATAGAGAGCTAGAAACGTCGATGAGAGAGAAACATCAACCAGCAGCCTCTTGCACACCCTCTCCTGGGGATGTGCCCGCAACCAATGTATATGCCCTTGACGGGAATCGAACCTGGGACCTTTCAGTCCACAGACCGACGTTCTACCGCAGAGCCAAACCGGTTTTTGCTAAATCTTAAAGTAATTTTAATAAAGTTATAAGGATAAAAGATACATGTAGTTCCACTCTAAACGTTATTGGTATTAAAATGCACAATTATTATTGACAAGAATTCTCCAGAATAGATACAACCTGAAATTCTTTCCTCTAAGTACACACTCTAAATGTTATGAACACTCTTGGGTTGAAGATTTAAATTCATTATTTGTAATTAAAGAAAATAGGTATATTTCTTCCCATTTCTCAATATTTTATACTTAAAAGAACCTTTCACTTTATAGCTATCATTGAATTAGGATTCTAAAATACAGTTAGCTGTCCATAATCTGATCTTGGTGGCATATTTTCAACATTAAAAACTACTTTGTAAGAGAAAAGTGTGCAGAGTGAAAATCACTCAAGTAAGTAAGAATAAAACTTACACAAACCATGTCACTTCTCATCACGGCATTACTCTTTTCTTTGTTGGTTCTTCATTTAAAGCCGAACATAACCAGTAATTAGAAATTAAACTTTAAAATCTGTGCTGTGCTCATGGCCATCAGCTGACGATGAACGCCTCCCACTTGCCAGCAGAGAGCCAGGCGCCACTCAGAGGAGGTCAGAGGCTGTGCCACGGGGACACGCGTGTCTGCCCCCGAGTCCCTCACTGGACAACATGCAATTCTGCCACCTCAGCAGCCAGGGTCGCGGTGCCGCCACATAAGGAAGGGAAGTGGGCACAGTGTGGTGGCCAGGGTCTCGGAACTGAACCAGCCCTGCTCAATTTCAGGGGATCAGCTGGGGAATAATGGGAACATGACCAAAAGCCGCCAGTCCCGGCAGCCCTTCCTCCCGAAGGCCCCTTCCCTCTGAGTCCTGCGTGTGCACAGCAGAGGCCTGAGGCGCAGCCCCAGACCCATCAGGTCCCAGCCTGAGTGCGCAGGTAGGTGCCAGGTTCCCGCATACCTGCTGGGTTCCCCGTCTGAGTGCGCCGCGTACCTACCGGTGAGCCGTCTCTGCAGCGCCTCCTCCTCGAGGGCAACGATGTACACCTGCTCGTCCAGGTCCTCCAGGATCTAAAGGAAGACCAGGCTGTTGAATGCGGCAACGTCACAAACCCCCGCTGATGAGAACACTGGCTGCTGGGCCTGGGACTCAGGCTACCACTCAGAGACTGGGAACCTAAAATGCAAATGCTCCAGCTACTTGATTTACAAAGTAAGTAAAAAATATTTCAGTGTATAACTAGATACATCAAAAGCTGATCACCACAAAATGTACATGTATTTAAATTGGGTATATTTAACTTTAAAGGATTAACCCACTCTGCAGTTCTCACCGCAGGCACAGTGCAGACTCTGATGATCGCAGGCTCATACAGCAGGGCTTCCCATACGGGCCGCCCAACCCTGGCTCCTCAGCGCTGCTTCTCACATCACGTTCAGAACCAGAAATCCATACCGGCCCCCAGCCGGGCAATGCTTTCTACCGGCACCATCGCGGCACTAGAAACTTCCCACCAATTCCTTACCTGTGGCGAGGCCATCCTTCACAAAGGGCCCTCAGGAAACTAAGCTGACGAACGCACCCCTCACTGTCACACCAAGCAACACAAATAAGAAACAACCAACCACGACCAACAGTCACCGTGTGGGGTGTTAGCCGCACTGACTCCAAAACGGACCCTGAGAGTCCCTGTGCACACAGGGCTGTGCTCGGGGCGCCTGGAGGACGCCAGGGCAGCACCATGTTCTGTGCAATGAACTCCGGCCACGCTCCTACTTACGCCGGGACTGAGCAGCAGGGACAGAGCAGGATGGAGCCACCTAGCCTCTCCTGTCCTGCTGACATCTCAGCCCTGCGATCCCGCAAGCGCCAAGTCTGCAGGATTCCAATGGCTTCCCGGACCTGAACCAGTACCGGCAGCCTGACCTCCGGCTGGACTTCCTAATAAAGCACAGCAATGAGCGCCCATGACTGCATGGAGGAGCCTCCTGCGCCAGCGGGACAGGAAGACAGGCCTTCTCTGAGGACAGCACTCCAGTCCCTCCCACTTGGGAAAGGAGGGCTCCCCTAAAAGCCCTCGAGGAGGCAGGGCTGGGGCCCAGGAGGCTCCAAGTGTGTGGAGCGCAGGGACGGACCTCCCACCGGGGCTCCCCACCGCCTCAGATCTGACACACACGAAGGACATCCTCATACTGGCCAACGGTCAGATACTGACTGACCCCACAGTCTGTGTGGGAATGACGGTGGTAGCAGGAGAGGGGACTCAGGGGGCGCAGAAGTGGGGTCACAGTTGCTACAGCTCCTGCGAGCATCACAGCCTTTCTCCACGCAAACAGCTGCAGGCCCACTTTTGCCCACCCCTGTATTTGAGGTAAGATTTGCGTGCATCGTGCCCTTGAGTCTACAATACCCTAAAAATATACTGCTCTCACCCCATCTTGGAATTGCCAAGAAACAAAGGTTTGGTGAAGAAGAATCATCTGCCTTTGGAGCCTGTGCCTTAACCACTCGGGTCAGAACAGGCCTGGACCTCAAGTGGCATGTGTTCCAGCTTCCAGAAGAGATGTGGTAAGCTCAATGACTTAAATGTCACAACAGAAGCTAAAGTACAGTTACAGAAGGTCAGGGGAAGAAAGACCCCCCACCTCCGCCGAGGAGCAGGGCCTTGGCCAGTGCTGCTGGTGGTGGCAGTGCTTAATTCACCAAAAGGAGGGGAGGCGCCCAGCCAGAGGTGACACTGTCACAGTGGGAGCAGACACCCCGTGCGCGGCCGCAGCTAGGGATGCTGGAGCTCTGTGGACAGCAGCGCCCGGAGCCAGGCTCTGATCCTGCCCTGCCGTCCCCTCAGGCCAGTGACCTGGAGCAAGCGTCCCACTCCATGAGCAGCCGGTAAATGAGAAGCCACCCCCGAGCCTGCATCTGCCACCGGACGGAGTGAATTACTTGTGCAAAGTACTCATGGCAAGCACACAGCAAATATAACGAGCATTTTCAAGGTCCTCTTAGTAACAGACGGATCTGGGGAATAAGCGTGGGAGGGGATATGAAGAAGGTGCTGGTTCTGTGTGTGTGAGCTTGTTCGCACTGCCTGTCCTCACCAGGTCAGACATAGGGAGAAGTGGCCGAGTGGCCAGGAGAGCAGCGCGCAGCCCAAGACCACGCTCACGAGGTCACACTCTGCCAACATTTGGGACAGGAGGTGCCAGTGGAGAAAGAGGCCAAGATGTGTCAACAGACAGAGAAAGGAAGAAAGTGAAGGCACGTGGGCCACCACATCTGTCTCCAAAGGCGGTGGTTCTTGGGTGGACAGTGTGTACATTAAGCATGTTAAATCACAACAAATATTTTTGTGGCCCAGACAAGATAACGGTATATAAGAAAGGTTTTAATAAAAATCTTGTAACTTTATTTTTACAATATCCTGTTAAACGTAAGTATTAATAACAAACTACAATGTTCGCTAATGCCTGATCACTGTCCTCGTGCTGCATTCATTTCCCTCGTGCGCAGGCGCACCAATTCTCCCCGACACCAGCAGAGACTTCAGCGGCCAATGCCACGTCATTCGTCTTGGACGGACGTGTTTGGTGTGCGGAACAGGAAATATTTTGCTTTCAGAGAACAAGAAAAATAGGTTTGTGTTACACTTATTAATCTGTGCAGTTATTCAGTGTCTGGTAAGTTAATGTTCAAGAAAAAAATATTAAATTTTATTAAAATGTTCTATTATTTTATGTTAACGATTACTCACTTATTTCAGCCCTTTGTATTCAGCATGTCTCTATCAAAATAAACCTATGTCTCTATGAAAGTTGAAGCTTTTGTGTGTTTTTTGCGGCCCACATACACTTAAACCTTGTTTATTTGGCCAGTGTTAGCCTTTGAGTTTGACATGCTTGGTATACATGGTATTTGCTGTGTGCACATTTAGGAAGCAAGTAAAAAGTCCAATTATAGTTTAAAGAAGTAGAAAGAGATTGCCATTTATTTAAAAAGTCCAAGCCCTGGCTATTGTGCTCAGTGGTTAGAGGATGGCCTGTGCACCAAAGGGTCTCAGGTTCGATTCTTGTACCTGGGCTGCAGGTCAGATCCCTGCCCCAGTTGGGGTGCATGAAGGAGGCCACCAATTGATGTGTCTCTCTTACATCAATATTTCTCTCTCTTCCCTCCATTCCTTCCCTTCTCCTTTCCCTCCCTCCCATTCTCTCTAAAAACCAATGGAAAAAATATCCTCCAGCGAGGATTAAAAAACAACAACAGTTTTGAAATTAAGCAAGCCTTTACTAAAAGAATATCTATTACATTTCCTTATTTTCTCCCCAAGAAAAGCGAATCTGTGACCATAAAAATGTAGTAAATACTACTAGTAAGATACAGACAGAGGGGAGTGAGAGCCGTAGAAGGAACTCAGCTACTTTGGCTGAAAGCAGTGAGGCCAGTTCAGAGATGGCAGTGAGCAGCTGACCGCAGAGCCGGCCAGAGGAGGCCAGTAGGACTGGGGGTGCGGAGGCGCCAAGGGAGAGGCCCTGGGCACAGCACCTGGGCACAGCAGGGCCGCTGAGTCTACAGTTAGTCACTTGGGGCAGGGAGGGCGGGAGGGTGGCGGCTACAGGTGCACTCAGTGCGGAGATTGTACGGGTGTTGCAGCACGCTGATAGTTTAGTGTAGTTTGTAGGCAGTGAGGATCCATGAGTGATTTGAGTGACGTATGTCCTAGATACTGCTAAGAACTGCTTTCATATTATGAAATATTTGACAAAATACCTAGAGGCCAAAGAAACTTAGGGATAGATTGTTACAATTAGTACTTATTGAAAATGAATATACAGTACTTCTGAGATTAAAGGGATATGATACAATATGCAGCAAATTTTCAGAAACATGATTGCTTTGTAAACCAAAGGGCCCATGCGGTAGATTTTGAAACATAACCATTACTAATTGATCTAATGAACAAACACCTACAATACCTGTAAATATTCGTAAATCTTGTTTTAAATTTTTACGTGAGTGCCTATAGTTAGAATTTTAAAAGCAAAAACAAATGTGGTATCCAAAAATGAAAAAGATTAAAATAAAAACCACCACAATTTGGGTCATAAACCCACAGAAACAGCCTCCTGCTGTGTCTGCATGCACGTTCACAACCAAAGGCTGGAGTCGCGACACGGTTCCCACTACTCACCGCCGGCTTCACCAGCAGCTGGCCCATGATGGCGAACATGCGGGACAGGCCGACCGGGGTGCACACTGCGGGGAGATGGCAGACAGCGCTTACTGTGAGCACACAGACCGCCAGCCCTCACGCCGCACCGAGCCAGACCGGCTCTCGGGAAGTTCTGTCGCCGCCTCAGACTCGCGGTGCATGTCGGAGACTCCTCAGCCTGCTCCAGAGGGCTGGCGAGGTTGCTTCCTGTACTTGACGAGGGACAGGTGACGGCTACAGACTGAGGACATGCGAGCCTCTAGCAGCTGAATGATAAGCATTTTCACTTACAAGAAGCTAAAGAAAACCAATTAAAGGACAGACTGGTTTCAAGCACTAATGAAACTGAGAAGCAGACAAGAACATCTAAAAGTGAAACTATCATCTTAAATTCTTATAACACTTTTCTGTTTATAATATCCCTGAGACATGTGATAATATCTTAAGTAAAACTAAGCAAGCTTGAAAATAAAGACGGCAATTGATCACACACAATTCTACCATTACCATTCAAAAGTAGAGTCTAGTGTCAGAATAGTAAGGGTATGGAGGGCATGTAAATGCACATGAGTATGTGCGTGTCTCTGTGTCTGTGTGTATATCTGTGCATGTGTCTGTGTGTAAAGGATATGTGCATGTGCATGTCTACGTGTATATATGTGCATGTCTGTCTGTGTGTGCCTGTGTGTTTATATGTGTGTGTTTCTGTGTGTGCAAATGCCTGCGAGTGTGCGTATCTGTGTATATACCTGTGTGTGTACCTGTGTCTGTGTGTATGTGTGCATGTCCCTGAATGTATGTCTGTATCTATACACGTGTATATCTATGTCTATGTTTATGTGTGTCTCTGCATGTGGGCATGTGTGTATCTCCGCCTCCACCCACCTTTTACCCCAACCCTGTGGAAGAAGCTTTTCTTAGAGAACAGCACAAGTGTCTCATTATTTCAAAGTTTCAGTTTATCAAAATTTACCTTGAACATAAAAAAAGTTAAGAGCTGCCCGACCAGTGTAGCTCACTGGCTGCACATCGACATATGAACCAGGAGGTCATGGTTTGAATTCAGGTTAGAGCACTTGCCTGGGTTGTGGGCTCAATCCCCGGTGTGGGGCGTGCAAGAGGCAGCCAATTAACGGTTCTCTCTCATCATTGATGTTTCTATCTCTCTCTCCCTCTCTGAAATCAATAAAAATATAAAAAATAAAAAATAAAGGACCAACTTTTTCAAACTGTCCAAACTGTTAAGGAATGTCATTGGAAAATTTCCCATAATTCTCTAGAACACAGAAGAACTCTCCTTTCCGATCAATATTAAGTCAGAAAAATACTTACAGAGCAGCAGCAGACATCCCATGAGTGATACACAGGAGTACAAGTAGGGCAGATAGAACTCCCAGAGATCTGTGAAAACAGTCAATGTTTTAGTAAATCCAAAACACTGTGCATGGAGATAGAGGCTATGAAATAATGTACAGTAAATATCATAATTGCCTATTGGAGTCTAAACCATGTAATTTCTAAACAGTACAACAAAAAGATCTAAAATAACCCCTTTGCAACACTTGTCTAGAAGGAGAAAAAAAGCCTGCGTGGGATTTTAAGAACAGAAATCAATTCACAACAAAATGATACTCTGCACACAGGAAATGCCTGAGTATTCACTGCTTTCCTAAATGTCTCTAAATGTTTCTGAATCCTGTAAACTAACAAGGGTTCACTACAGGAAGAACTATTTCAATGCTTTAAAAGTGAGTGGCGAGCAGGGCTCCGGAGAAGCTGGTTCAAGCCGCGAGCGCACCGTACAGAGACTCCCTGCTCGCCGCATCCTCGTCCACGAGCGCTGAGGCCACCCACACCATCCCCAGGATCAGCAGCGCCAGGAGCAGAAGCATGACCAGCGTCTCCAAGATTCGGGCTCGGAGTCCCTGAAAAGTAAGCAGAGGCACAATTTTAATATTGTATTACTTCTCATGGACAAGTAGGTTTCTAGCCACAGATAGAAAGCATAAAATTCCTTGGGAAGGGGCAGAAGTTTATATGTATCAGCAGGAAAAAACATGAAGTGCTTACAGTTTGTAATGTTGAGACTGATTTTTCCAAAATTATGTAAAATAGCATTAGCTTTGAGGAAAGTACAAAAAATATTCTTGTTCCAGACATTTTGCAGAATCATCCTAAACAATTAATTACTTTCCTAACACACCAAGAAAGCAGATTACCCAATCTTGACTTGTGATCCTACATAATCAAGGGAACAGGTTCTTCCAGGTGCTGGGCCAACGGGCCTCTGGCAGCTCCCGGCCTCCAGTGCCCTCTAGTGAGCAGCGGAGGACTAACCCGGCAGAGAGACCAGAGATGGTCAGTTTATACCAGGGATAGAGACAGAGCATCCCCTTCCCATCAGAGACTTCTTCCTCAGGGCCAAACTAGAGACCAGATTTTTAAATTGAAACCTACTAGACAAGGCAAAACAAAAAAACTTCCTTATGTTCCTGAAGTCACCAAATGACTGATCTGAACTTAAAGATGCATATTGGTACTGTAATGCACTAATCTACATGACAAACAAAATTATAAGTGCATCCATGTTTCTTAATAAACCATGTAACCTTCCCTTCCACATCAAAAAGAACTTAAAGATATGAGTTACAAATAAAGATAGTACCTACATGCCCACTTAGCCCAATTCTGCCCTAAATATTATTTCCCACTTTCTGGGTTAAAGGTTACCCTTAAGATTGTTCCTCCTGTGTGACGAGGACAGGGCGTGCCCTGAGGCCAGGGGAGTGGCTTGGCCTTCCCCTGGCCCAGGCCCACGCGGTGCCAGACAGAGCAGACGGCCGCTCCGGTGTAAGCACTGCAGAGTGACTGCGCTGGTCTTCCATGAGACAGTGGCTGCTTCTCCGGGGAGACGAGGAAGGAATGGTCACGGAACACACTCCTGGTTCACAGAAGAGCCTCACAGCTCTGAATCTTGCCCTGGCACAGCACTCTGCACCAAAGCACACCACTTTTTAATGGTGATTTCTTTCTCTGTCCTCTCTTTCTAGGCAATAATCTGTTTTTCTAAGCAAGAATTTTCTGTTACCCATTAAATATTGTGTGGAAAGCCTCTGAGTGAGACAGACAGAAAGAGTGGGTGCTCTGTGTGTGCTCCACGCTAACAGCTCCTGCCGCCCAGGACAAGCCAGAAGCACCAAGGCTCCCACAACATGGACACGTGTGTCATAAGCACTGTGACATATGAGCAAAGTCGCACAGGAGTGTTAACAGATAGAAACGAAGAAATGCTGCTCCTGGAATGATCTGAGATCCACTGTTTTAATAATATAGTATCTATCCACCTTCTTACCTATCTATGTCTAAGCAACTGTTCAACTGGTAGCTATGACACACACTGACCACCAGGGGGAAGACGCTTAATGCACAGGCATGGAATCGTGGAACAAACTGATGAATCTCAGAGGGAAGGAGGGAGGGAAGAAAAAGATTAACCAAAGATCTTAGAAGCCTTGTGTACATATTAGTGCACTGGTGGGGTTCCTCAGCCTGGCATGCAGGGATCGGGCCAAAACCAGTTCTCCAACAACCCCCAAGGGCTCCTGGATTGCAAGAGGGTGCAGGCCAGGCGGAGAAACCCCACTGCACCAGGCCTCTAGTCATTATTATTTTAAACAATGATAATGATGTAACCACAGTACAGCATAAGGGTTAAGATGAAGATCAATGTAGGAAATGACTCACCAGTAGCTCGCACACTTCCTCTGACATTTCTTTTTTTCTTTTTATTAATATATTTTATTGCGGTAGAGAGGAGAATCCAAGATGGCTGCACAGGTAAACACCTAGCCGCAGACACACATAACAATTTCAATAAAATACAACTAAAATATAAAATGGACATTACCCAGAACTACAGGAAAGTCGAATGATTGGAAATTCTACAACGAGAAGGAAAGAGAAAACCAGAAGGATAATCAGAGGAGCTGTAAAAACCTAAGGTATGGAGACACGCTGTGCGTGCGGAAAGGAGGGGGAGGCTGAGTGCCTGGCTGGCGTTCCCTAGCGGGAAGGAGATAAAAGCTACAGATTGTGCCGAACCCAGACCCGACAGCACTGAACCCCAGTTTTAGGCTAGACCCTGGGGACCCAGGCTCATACAGAGGAAGTCTGGTCTGTGATGCAAAATCCCAGGGGAGCGGCAAAAGGCAGAGTCTCCGGAGGCGAGCACATTGCGCGCAGAGGACAGACTGTTGACTCTGCTGCTAGATTGCCCTAGCGGGAAGGAGACAAAAGCTCCGGACTGTGCTGAGCCCCACTTCCAACTGCTCTCAACCCCAGTTCTAGGCCAGACCCTAGAGTCCCAGGCTCATACAGAGGGAGCTTGGGCTGTAAGGCAAAACCCTGGGGGAGCAGCAAAAGGAGGTCCCGGAGGCGTGCACATTGCGTGCAGAGAACAGACAGTTGGCTGTGCCATGGGATTGCCCTGGCAAGAAGGAGACAAAAGCTCCGGACTGCTCTTAACCCCACTTCCAATCCACTTCCAACTGAACTGAACCAAAGTTCCTGGCTCATTGGGGGAGAGACTAGACTGTTTGGTAGCAGGCAAAACTCGAGGGCACCTCACTCTCAGAGGTGCTTGCAGCGAATACCGAAGGACCCTGAGGAACACTGAGACTCAGGAGCTGTATAGGGCGTGGCTGACAGAAGCCAAGGCTGTAAGGTCCACCCTAAAACTCTGCCCCATCCAAGTAGAACACAGAGACTTTTAAGGCTACCAACTCAGGGAAGCTGCGAAAATGCCGAGACAAAGACATAGATCACAAGTGAGAGTACCAATTGGAGGAGAAACCAAGATGGCGGTGTAGGTGAGCAACTGGTCTGCCGCTCCAACAACAATTTAAAAATGAAAACTAATATGAAGGACATCTATCATCCAAAACCACAGGAAGGAGGTACTGGGTAGTTAATAGTCAACAATTAACATGATAATAAGAGCAATGAGGGACCGATGGGGCTCTTAAAATGTTACCAGTTGGAGAAATGGAAGAATGGCAGGCCCGGAGCAGCTAGGCCTGGGGCAGCAGCAGCCAGGCCCTGAGCAGCAAGGCCCAGAGCAACCAGGCCCGGAGCAGCAGAAGCCGGGCCCGGAGCAGCAGCAGCCAGGCCCGGAGCAGCAACAGCCAGACCCAGAGAAGCCAGGCCTGGAGCAGCAGCAGCCAGGCCCAGAGCAGCAACAGCCAGACCCGGAGAAGCCAGGCCTGGAGCAGCAGCAGCCAGGCCCGGAGCAGCCAGGCCTGGAGCAGCAGCCAGGCCTGGAGCAGCCAGGCCCGGAGCAGCAGCAGCTAAGCTTGGAGCAGCCAGGCCCGGAGCAGCAGCAGCTAAGCCCGGAGCAGCCAGGCCCAGAGCAGCCAGGCCTCCAGGCCTGGAGCAGCAGCAGCCAGGCTCAGAGCAGCCAGGCCCAGAGCAGCAGCAGGCAGACCCGGAGAAGCCAGGCCTGGAGCAGCAGCAGCAAGGCCTGGAGCAGCAGCAGCTAAGCCCGGAGCAGCCAGGCCCGGAGCAGCCAGGCCCAGAGCTATCAGGCTCAGAGCAGCCAGGCCCAGAGCATCCAGGCCCTGAGCAGCCAGGCTCAGAGCAGCCAGGCCCAGAGCATCCAGGCCCGAAGCAGCAGCAGCCAAGCCCGAGCAGCAGCAGCCAGGCCTGGAGTGGCCAGGCCCAGAGCAGCCAGGCCCGAAGCAGCCAGACCTGAAGCAGCAGCAGCCAGGCCCAGAGCAGCCAGGCCCGGAGCAGTCAGGCCCAGAGCAGCAGCAGCCAAGCCTGGAGCAGCAGCAGCCAGGCCTGGAGCAGCCAGTCCCGGAGCAGCCAGGCCCGGAGCAGCCAGGCCCGGAGCAGCCAGGCCCAGAGCAGCAGCAGCCAGGCCCAGAGCAGCCAGGCCTGAAGCAGCCAGCCCTGGAGCACCCAGGTCCAGAGCAGCAGTAGCCAGGCCCAGAGCAGCAACATCCAGGCCCGGAGTAACCAGGCCCGGAGCAGCAGCCAGGCCCGGAGAAGCCAGGCTTGGGGTGTTATGGGGTCGAACCCTGGGTTCAAAATGAAAGGAAAGAAGGAGCAATGCAGCCAATTCGGGTACCAGAGGGTTATGTCTGTCTTCACAATGGACTCAAAGAAGCTCCTGTGTCCCTTCACCCAAAAGGCCTGAGAGTTGCCCAGACGACAGCAAAGTGGGAGAAGAAAACTGAAGGCTACGCAAGGAACTGAGGTGCCAGCATGGAGTCATCTGAAGAAATTAAAGACTGAAGTGGAAGCTACTTCTTTAATCATGTTCCTGCTCATGCTAGCATCTGTTAGCTTCCAGTCTTCTGCAAAGTCTTATGCAGCAAGTCCAAGAACTCTGAGTAAATCTACACCAACAACAAAAGAGACTCATTTAGTAGCTAAAAATATTAATATGTCCATAATTCTGATTTCTCATTGTTTTTTGCTTGGCATTGTTGTTGTTATTTAATAGCCAGAGTTTTGCTCTTGACATTCAAGTTTTGAAAATAATATGTATGTGGTTTAGTTTTTTCATTGGCAAAAAAAAAAAAAAATCTGAAGACCAGAATAAACTGGTGAATATAATAGAATCAGGGGCAAAGGAAGTGAGTGGATTGATAATTATCAGGGGGAAAGGGGTGTGGGGTGCAGGAAGAGACTGGATTAAAATTGTATAACATATGGATGAAGACAATGGCGAGGGGGGGAGGAGGTAAGGGCAGAGGGTGGGGCAGGAACCTGGTGGAAGGGAGCTATGGGGGGGAGGAGGGAGGAGAAACAATTGTAATAATCTGAGCAATAAAGATTTATTTGAAAAATTACACACACACACACACACACACACATATATTGATATATTGATATATTGATATATTGATATATTGATATAATT